CTATGAGGATAGACTAAGGGCCCTGAAACTGCACTCTCTAGAAAGACGTAGAATTAGGGGGGATATGATTGAGGTGTATAAATGGAAGACAGGAATAAATAAAGGGGATGTAAATAGTGTGCTGAAAATATGTAGCCTAGACAGGACTCGCAGCAATGGTTTTAAGTTGGAAAAATTCAGATTCAGGAAGGATATAGGAAAGTACTGGTTTGGTAATAGAGTTGTGGATGAGTGGAACAAACTCCCAAGTACCGTTATAGAGGCCAGAACGTTGTGTAGCTTTAAAAATAGGTTGGATAAATACATGAGTGGATGTGGGTGGGTGTGAGTTAGACCTGATAGCTTGTGCTAACAGGTCGGTTGCCGTGTTCCTCCCTTAAGTCAATGTGACCTGACCTGACTAGGTTGGGTGCATTGGCTTAAGCCGGTAGGAGACTTGGACCTGCCTCGCATGGGCCAGTAGGCCTTCTGCAGTGTTCCTTCGTTCTTATGTTCTTATGTTCTTATAGTAACGTCAGGTGAAGCAGACGAGGGCAAATTCACTGGTGGGCGGGATTCCCCAGTGGAAGTAGGTCCTTCCCAAAGAGATGGGTTAGTTGTTGTAGTAGTAGATGTCGTAGTTGTGAAGGTTATGTACATGTCCTCAGAATTAAGATTCCATGATGTTGCAGTGTCTGACAAGTTGTGTACGAATGGTATATAATACCGACAAGATGAGAGTAAGACACAAGTGCAACATCTGGGTATCTTTATTGTAGACGTTTCGCCATCCAGTGGCTTTATCAATACAAATTCCAGGACATAACTTGAAGACAGTAGAACTATGTACAGAAGATGAGGTAATCAGTCCCTCAACCTAGGAGTAGGTGCGAACAGCACCATAGTCGTGGAGATTCTGAAGCAGAAGAAAGAATCCTGGCGCTTATATAGTAACGTCAGGTGAAGCAGACGAGGGCAAATTCACTGGTGGGCGGGATTCCCCAGTGGAAGTAGGTCCTTCCCAAAGAGATGGGTTAGTTGTTGTAGTAGTAGATGTCGTAGTTGTGAAGGTTATGTACATGTCCTCAGAATTAAGATTCCATGATGTTGCAGTGTCTGACAAGTTGTGTACGAATGGTATATAATACCGACAAGATGAGAGTAAGACACAAGTGCAACATCTGGGTATCTTTATTGTAGACGTTTCGCCATCCAGTGGCTTTATCAATACAAATTCCAGGACATAACTTGAAGACAGTAGAACTATGTACAGAAGATGAGGTAATCAGTCCCTCAACCTAGGAGTAGGTGCGAACAGCACCATAGTCGTGGAGATTCTGAAGCAGAAGAAAGAATCCTGGCGCTTATATAGTAACGTCAGGTGAAGCAGACGAGGGCAAATTCACTGGTGGGGGGGATTCCCAGTGGAAGTAGGTCCTTCCCAAAGAGATGGGTTAGTTGTTGTAGTAGTAGATGTCGTAGTTGTGAAGGTTATGTACATGTCCTCAGAATTAAGATTCCATGATTTTTGCAGTGTCTGACAAGTTGTGTACGAATGGTATATAATACGACAAGATGAGAGTAAGACACAAGTGCAACATCTGGGTATCTTTATTGTAGACGTTTCGCCCCTCCAGTGGCTTTATCAATACAAATCCAGGACATAACTTGAAGACAGTAGAACTATGTACAGAAGATGAGGTAATCAGTCCCTCAACCTAGGAGTAGGTGCGAACAGCACCATAGCCGTGGAGATTCTGAAGCAGAAGAAAGAATCCTGGCGCTTATATAGTAACGTCAGGTGAAGCAGACGAGGGCAAATTCACTGGTGGGCGGGATTCCCCAGTGGAAGTAGGTCCTTCCCAAAGAGATGGGTTAGTTGTTGTAGTAGTAGATGTCGTAGTTGTGAAGCCACTGGATGGCGAAACGTCTACAATAAAGATACCCAGATGTTGCACTTGTGTCTTACTCTCATCTTGTCGGTATTATATACCATTCGTACACAACTTGTCAGACACTGCAACATCATGGAATCTTAATTCTGAGGACATGTACATAACCTTCACAACTACGACATCTACTACTACAACAACTAACCCATCTCTTTGGGAAGGACCTACTTCCACTGGGGAATCCCGCCCACCAGTGAATTTGCCCTCGTCTGCTTCACCTGACGTTACTATATAAGCGCCAGGATTCTTTCTTCTGCTTCAGAATCTCCACGACTATGGTGCTGTTCGCACCTACTCTCTTCTGTACATAGTTCTACTGTCTTCAAGTTATGTCCTGGAATTTGTATTGATAAAGCCACTGGATGGCGAAACGTCTACAATAAAGATACCCAGATGTTGCACTTGTGTCTTACTCTCATCTTGTCGGTATTATATACCATTCGTACACATGATAACGACGTACAAAATACTGAGAGGAATTGATAAGAGGGAACAGGGACAGATTATTCGAGAGGCAGGAAACAGAAACACAAGGACATAGATTGAAGATAAAACCACATGAATCAGGAAGATGTTTGAAAACATTTCTTGAACCTTAAAGTATTCAGGAATTGGAATGAACTGGAGAGTGGAGTGGTAAAGGCAAGATCCATACATAGCTTCTCGATGAGGTACGATAGGGTTCTCCAAGCCAGGGGAGAGAGAGAGGGAGAGTGAACCCAGTACAACCAGTGATGAGACAAGGCCAGGACCTGAAACCCGACCCCTGAAATCACATATAGGTGAGTACAGTATATACAGGCGAGTACACACTCACACATGTATACAAACCCATCTGGCCTACGTAAAAAACATTCAGCACCCATACCAAAAACACAAGCGAGGCAACACAGCACTTTCTCTTGTCATTTACCCTTCACTATTCATGGCAGAAAACATTTCATACGTGCGGTGTTCCCTCCTGAGCCACAGCCAGGCCCGTATTTAGCGCTTTTTGTCCTCCTGGATATAGCGATGTACGTTTATGTTCCCGTGCAATTTGGTGCGGCAGAAAGTGAGAAAGAGCGAAAGATTTGAATCAGACAAGAGAGAGAGAGAGAGAGAGAGAGAGAGAGAGAGAGAGAGAGAGAGAAGAGAGAGAGAAGAGACGAGAGAGGACAGAAAGCACGAGGAGAAGAGACAGAAGAGGGTAAAATTAAAGACTAGAGATGGAGATTAGGAAAGGAAGTATGAGTCATTAAATATAATATACGAAATATTATATTATTATTTATATATGTATGTATTATATATATTATTATATATATTTATATATAATATATATATATATATATATATATATATATATATATATATATATATTATATATATATATATATATATATATATGTACATACATATATATTATGTATGCCTACCTACACACAGAGGCTTCGGAAAGGTCATTTTACAGTTTCCAGTAGTCACTGGATGGGTCTTCCCTGTGGGTGCTTCAGGCTCTGACACCGGGACCTCCTGGCAAAACCACAGTCACCTGGAATTTCTGACTCCACGATATGTTTCCTGAGTTACGACATTAAAGATGACATCTTAAGGTATTTCTTAATAGGAAATAGGTTGTAAATCTGTCTCTGGGTGCTTACGAGGAATTTTTTTGATCTGTTGACTGTCTACTTCATCGATCCACTGTACATGCAGATGATTCCTCTGTAAGAGACTGTCCTCAGGTACGTCAATCATCAACTTGTAGCAACTTCTGCTGATGTAAGTGAAGGCAGGTTACAATCGTTTCTGAGAAAACATAAATTTTGTTCTTTGGATAGTCTGATGTTAATGTTGGAGTTGGGATAATATTGAAGGGAATATTACCACGTAGCAACTAAGGGGAAAATGTTAGGAGGAGGGGGTGAGCGTTGGACTTTGCTCATCAATGACTATAAAGAAAAGAGTGATGAATCTTGCAAGCAACACAGCCAAGAAACTTGCAGCGTTAAAGTGCATTTCGTACTCACTCGATCACAGAGTCAAAACTCTGGCTATTGAGTATGGGCACTTTTCAAGGGATGCATGATCCTGGTCATATTTCCTGTTTAGGAAGGGTAAAGGGACGTGTAAAGTGACTTACATCTCAACCCTGTCTTATCAGACTTGGCATTGCAGCAGATCTTACAGCACCGGAGAGACGTCTTGTGAACTTACTCTTGTTAATATGATCTAAGTTTTCAAAGTGTTCCCGCTGACTCAACACTGAAGGTAATCAACACGACTGTATGCTTCGGCCACTGTCAACAGACCACCTCCCCTCTGACTGTGGTATCTTGGACTGCACCCCAATAATATTATCCCCCAGTAATAATCTCGTGAAGGAAGCCATAGTTAACATAGTTAACATAGTTAAAATATTCAAATAGCAGTAAAATATATCAATAATATTTATAATTATATTAGTAATTAAACCAGCTGTAATAATAATTTTGATAATGCTAATTATAGTAATTATAATTCGTAGTTTGGCTTGTACAATGAGCACCAATTTTGTTTCAGCTCGTTTACCTCCTGTTTGGCTTTTATTAAGCAAATTTATGTGATTTTTATTCATTCGCCCTGTCACTACTGTTTAGATAGTTTATTTATGTAAATAATTTTAAGTGTTGAACCTATATATGAACACTTATACCCTTGTATTCTTAATGGAAACAAACACACACACATATATATATTTTATATATATATATATATATATATATATATATATATATATTATATATATATATATATATATATATATATATATATATATATATATATATATATATATATATATATAAGCTACCCTTAATGTTATCGTAAAGTAAATGTTAGCCTTGAAGAGAAATATCAAAGTTACACATAAAAACTTTCTAATGACATTCCACTAACTTTTGGTCAAATCTTTTCTCCACTGTTTTTCCTAAAAATATCTAAAGTCTGGGTCACCTTCAGTCTCGTCCACGAGGCGCTCTTCGATTTATCCTCCGCACAAAAACATTAAAAGGCTCAAAGTTCATTTATCTCTCTTGGGGACACGAGGAGCAGGAGGCGAGAGAGCGTTGGAGATCAGACGGAAGTGTTGACGGAGGCGTGGACGGTGCCTGTGAACTTGAAAAGCGGAGCGTGGAGGTAGGGTGGGGAGCGTTCAAGCGTTGGAGTGTAGTTCAAGACAGGTCCTGTCGTTGGCGAGTCGTTGGAGTAGCGTAGACGGAGACTCCAGGCAAGGCATTAAGGCAGTCAGAGAGAGGCTGTGGTGGTGGTGAAGGAGTGTGAAGGTCGAGGCGCTGGACAGAGCCACAGAACTGGATTCCTTAGGTGCTGAAAGATGAGGCTGGACCAAGCGGCGTCGGCTCCTCAGCGCCTTCTGCTGCTACTCCTTGGATTGGCCGCTAGGGGTAAGTCACTTAACATTCATAGCATCACCCAATGACAGTCTTTCAACTATATCGGACAAGCCAAAATATACATTACAACCCTTTCCAAAAATGTGCCAGTTGTTAGTGAACTAATATATTATCTACTGTCTCCTTTCTACATATTTATTCAATGTGTCCTTTTCAGTAATTACGTGTGAATGCCAGTGTTGCTTTGTGTACGACTCAGGATCCTGACTCTCCCTGTACTTACCTGTAGGCTGGGGCCTTCGTGTGTCCGGGGTGGTGGTACCGTCAGCTGTGGTGTCGGGTTCATCAGTCCAACTCACGTGCAACTACGAGCACAACACAGACCGCCCCGACCCTCTCTACTCGGTCAAGTGGTACCGAGATGTCAACCAGTTTTACGAGTACATTCCTAAGAGAGACCCACCTATCCGCATCTATCCGCTCCCTCACATACACGTCGATGTAAGTATGGTTGCCTGTGCCTTTGGTCAACAGCCTTACGTTCATTGTCATTTTTCCGGTTGTTTTAAGTTGAGTTTTTTCCTGTCCCAGTGCAGGACAACCTTGCCTCAAGATACGAACATGCGTCAAAATACTATCAAATTAGCTGTTATATGTATCTTGCCCCGTTACTGTGTTCAACATCCCTGTCTCTACTATACTGTGCACCATAATATAAAATTACATATAGACCAGTGAGACAAGGGTGAGTTTGCAACATACATTAATTTCAATGAGACCGACCCTCCCCGCCTGCACATTCCCCGATGTAACACACGCTTGCACTACACTCATACCACAAAATTCAAAGAATAATTCTCCCACATTTGTTCCCATAAACCAGGAACACTTTTATTATTGTTATAATCAGAAAGAAGCGCTAAACCACAAGTTATACACACCAGGAACACTAAAAGCACAAATTATTTCATTTATTTGGAGCACTAAACCTGTGTAAGTCATTCACCCAAGGACTGTTGCAGGCTTTAACCTCAGTCTGCTAAACGCTAGACAAACATCTTACCTGCATATGTATGTATATAAGTATGCACACAGTAATAATATATATATATATATATATATATATATATATATATATATATATTATATATATATATATATATTTATTATATATAATTATATATAGGCATAGATCACAGTAACCGGTGTTTTATGCAATAACAACCACTGAAGAATAGGAATTCAAGAGATTTCAACACTTTCTGGTCTAAGAAAATAGGATGTCAAGCCTTCACACTCTGTCCTGAATGACTACACTAATTAGCGCTTAAATACAATACTACTACTCTACTACTAACTACTATAATACTATAAATAATAATAATAATAATAATAATAATAATATAATATATATTATTATTATTATTATTATTATTATTATTATTATTATTATTATTAATGATCATGTTACGTTTTTGTTTCTTTGAAGACCTGCCCAATATTTACGCTGATTTCCATTGTCTCTCTCTAATTAGTTACTCTGCCAGATGTCATTTACTTACAAACAAATGATAAAAAATAACATCCGGATTGAATAATTAACATGCAAATGAAATAATTAAAATTAACATGGCGACTAAATCATGGAAAAAAAAATATTATGAAAATGAACTATTCGAATTATTTTAGTCGATTGCATGAATTATCGTCACTCTGGAGGTAAATGAAGACGGAGGTTCGAGCATTGATCATTCCCTCCCCCATCTCTGTGACTTGAATTCTTTCCGGCAGTCATCTCTTGCGGGTTTAGCGCTTTACACATGCGTCTTCAAGGTGTGTGTGTGTGTGTGTGTGTGTGTGGTGTTGGGGGGGGGGTGTGTATGGGGGAAAGGGGAGGGTGGAGAGTTGGCCTGATGTTCGTGAAGGGATCTTGATCCGAGGAATTTGGGCTCTCCTCTTTCTTGGGTCGAATCTGATTACTTAGCGTTGGTGGCGTTGAATTGCCATTGTTGGTGATGTATATTAGCCATTGTTGGTGATGTATATTAACCAGTGTTGGTGATGTATATTAACTAGTGTTGATGCATATTAACCAGTGTTGGTGATGTATATTAATCAGTGTTGGTGATGTATATTAACCAGTGTTGATGTATATTAACCAGTGTTGGTGCTGTATATTAACCAGTATGGGTGATGTATATTAACCAGTGTTGATGTACATTAACCAGTGTTGGTGATGTATATTAACCAGTGTTGGTACTGTATATTAACCAGTGTTGGTAATGTATATTAACCATTGTTGGTGATATATATTAACCAATGTTGATGTATATTAACCAGTGTTGGTGATGTATATTAACCAGTGTTGATGATGTATATTACCCATTGTTGGCAATGTATATTAACCAGTGTTGATGTATACTAACCAGTGTTTGTGATGTATATTAACCATTGTTGGTGTATACTAACCAGTGACTCACGAAATCGTAATCACACGATTGCAAACAAACCATACCACAGGTGAGAATAGAACCCGCGATCAGAGAGTCTTAAAACTCAAGACCGACATGCTAGCCACTGGCTCAGCTGGCTAGTGGCTAGCGCGTCGATCTGGACTTTTATGACCTGATCGCGGGTTCTAACCCCGCTCGTGGTATGGTTTGTATACTGGCCAGTGTTGGTGTATACTGAACAGTGTTTGTGTTTGCAGGAAAGTGGCAGCTCTGGGCCCATGGTGAGGCTGACAGGAGTGACGAGAGCCACGTCTGGCATCTTCCGCTGCGAGGTGATGAGTGACAAGCCTTACTTTGAGACAGATGATCATGCTGTTAACATGACGGTCGTAGGTGAGTGGTCCTGTGTGTGTGTGTGTGTTGTGTGTGTGTGTGTGTGTGTGTGTGTGTGTGTGTGTGTGTGTGTGTGTGTGTGTACTCACCTAATTGTGGTTCCAGGGATCGAGACTCAGCTCCTGGACCCCGTCTCTTCACTGATCGCTACTAGGTCCTCTCTCTCTCTGCTTCCTGAGCTTTGTCATACCTCGTCTTAAAGTTAAGTATGGTTCCTGCCTCCACTGCATCACTTGCTAGGCTATTCCACTTCCTGACGACTCTGTGACCGAAGAAGTACTTCCTAATATCCCTGTGACTCGTCTGAGTCTTCAGGTTCCAATTGTGACCCCTTGTTTCTGTGTCCCATCTCCGGAACATCCTGTCTCTGTCCACCTTGTCTATTCCACGCATTATTTTGTATGTTGTTATCATGTCTCCCCTGACCCTCCTGTCCTCCAGTGTCGTCAGTCCGATTTCCCTCAACCTTTCTTCGTAGGACATTCCCCTGAGCTCCGGAACTAGCCTTGTTGCAAACCTTTGTACTTTCTCTAATTTTTTGACGTGCTTGACCAGGTGTGGGCTCCAAACTGGTGCTGCATACTCCAGTATGGGCCTGACGTACACAATGTACAGTGTCTTAAACGGTTCCTTACTAAGGTATCGGAACGCCATTCTAAGGTTTTCCAGGCGCCCGTATGCTGCAGCAGTTATCTGGTTGATATGTGCCTCCAGAAACGTGTTCAGTGTTATGGTCACCCCAAGATCTTTCTCCTTGAGTGAGGTTTGCAGCCTTTGTCCACCTAGCCTATACTCCGTCTGCGGTCTTCTTTGCTCTTCCTCAATCTTCATGACTTTGCATTTGGCAGGGTTGAATTCGAGAAGCCAGTTGCTGGACTACGTGTCTAGCCTATCCAGGTCTCTTTGTAGTCCTGCCTGATCCTCATCCGATTTAATCATTCTTATTAGCTTCACATCATCTGCGAACAGGGACACTTCAGAGTCTATCCCTTCCATCATGTCGTTCACATATATCAAACATAGCACTGGTCCTAGGACTGACCCCTGTGGGACCCCGCTCGTCACAGGCGCCCACTGTGATACCTCATCCCGTACCATGACTCGTTGTTGCCTCCCTGTCAGGTATTCTCTGATCCACTGCAGTGCCCTTCCTGTTATAAGCTCCTGATCCTCCAGCTTCTGCACTAATCTTTTGTGAGGAACTGTATTACAACCCAGGATTCCAAATGGCCTGTTACCCGGGTGTAATGGGAGCAAATAAACACAGTAGAAAAAGTTTAGACTTATATTATCCTTCACCAATTTATAACAGCAATATGTACACTATGTACAGTGATAAGTATAGTGTACTCCACGGTAAGCAAAGCAGAAATAGAAGCCACAAGATAGCAAACCGTGCTTCAACCAGCTCTAGAATGGAAATGACAAGGGCAGACAGGAGAGCGGTACCCACATAACCTCTGCGATTGCCAAAACCATCTTCTTATTGGCTAGAACCTGGTCGAAGGCTTTCATGCGGTCCAGGAAAATGTGTGTGTGTGTGTATGTGTACTCACCTATTTGTGGATGCAGGGGTCGAGACTCAGCTCCTGGCCCCGCCTCTTCACTGATCGCTACTAGGTCCTCTATCTCCATGCTCCAATTGCTTTATCATACCTCGTCTTAAAGCTATGTATTGTTCCTGCCTCCACTACATCACTTGCTAGACTATTTCACTTCCTGACTTCTTTATGGCTTAAGAAATACTTCCTGTGTGTGTGTGTGTGTGTGTGTGTGTGTGTGTGTGTGTGTGTGTGTGTGTGTGTGTGTGTTGCTGTGTGTGTGTGTGTGTGTGTGTGTGTGTGTGTGTGTGTGTGTGTGTGTGTGTGTGTGTGTGTGTGTGTGTGGGCAGCAGTAGAGTAAAATACACGTGTCTCTAAAAGCAAATTTAATCTTTTTCGACTTGACTGCAATATTCCATCACTAACCTCTAATCTTCTTGTTAATCAGATATCCCCAGGTGGGGCCCAGAGATTAAAGGGGAGGTCAAAAGCAGCACCCACGCCGTGCAGGACGCAGGCGTGGGCATGGGCACGGGCACCAGCGTGGGCATGCTGGAAGGGGCGCGAGTGAGGCCTGGAGATGTGTTAGAAGCTAGCTGTCAGGTAGACCACTCAGACCCGCCAGCAGAGATCACCTGGACGGTCAACTCGGCTACACCACCACTCAACACACACTTCCGTCGACCTCACAAGACAGACAGACGCGGCCGACGCATCCAGGCCTTGGTGAGTACTCTGTTTTGGTCACAGTCATGCTATGGTTCGAGCCTCCAGCTCGAACCATCGTCTGCCATTGCTTTCCATCAGTAATTCTTGATTGATCAGATACCGGGCCGCTCTTGGCAGATGGAGGATAGAGCCTGCCATACTTCCTGTGCTGAATAATTCACAAACTACACTTAACGATATAGGGGTAAGGTGTGGCCTTGTCACCTTACCCATACATGTCTCTCATATCTGAAGAACCTATTGTTTTTTCTCATGCATCTACTGAAGAGGGCTTTATTTGGGGGTCGAAATATACACTCAACTATTCTTCCTATTTAGCATCAATGTGTTTTTTTCCCTCAATAACAAATGTTCAAATTACGCTTTGATACACCAAATAATAATAATAATAATAAATAATAATAATAATAATAATAACAACTGTGTTTATCATGATCTTCGGGTGCGTGGTGGTCACCATCAGGAGCTGGAGGCGGTGGTAGGAGAGGCGTGGTTCATGAGAGGAGCCCTGGCCCTTGCCTGTCATGCTCGTGTCTCCAGTGTCTTCCGTCAGTCTGCCAACGTCACCCTCATCCACGCCGACCACCCGCAACCTGCGGGCTTCGGCTGGTTCTCTTCAGGTGAGTGACACCGTTGGTTAAGTTCCCATCACCTAATTGACGCCTTTGGTTGAGTTCCTATCAGGTAATTGGTACCTTTAGTTTTTTCCAATCAGCCTTTGAATGGCTGCCGTCAGGTAAGTAAGTCTTGTATTTTTTTGGGTGAGGAATATTAATTTGTATTTACTATGTCTTAAGAATATTCTTACAGATATCACGTTTTAGCTTTTGCTAATAAGAAGGAACTTAATATCAGCCTCTGTCAGTAAGCGCATTTTGAAAGAAGTGTTTCGGTGAAATGGCTCCTCGACAGTAATTTAAGTGGTTCTGAAACCACAAGAAACCGGGGTAGTCCTCTCCAGCAGTCTTGTGAATCCGACACCAGCTGAAGCTTCGTGGTAACGGGACCGAAGCCGGGGACGCAAACGCTAATGGCAAATTAAATCTGGCAAAAGAAAATCCTGCGTGCCATAAATACGATGCCAGTGCCAACATTTAGCGGGTCCAGCGTTTCTCTCTGCCTCACCACATAACGGAGCAATGGCTAGCAACCAGTACGGTGAGGACCTTCTTCAGTCCTTGTATCCCACAAGTGCTAACTAGCGTCTCTAGAGGACTCCCTCAGGTCTTCTTCCCCACCAGTACTGTCTATAGGACCTTCTTCAGGTTTTGTTTACTACAAGGATCTCAGGGATGTAAATGGCGCTGTCAAGCATTGTTCTCAGACCTCAAATACTCCTCCATTTAAACATGAAAGATCATAGATCCTTACAGTTCCTTCAGCTTAACCAATGACAAATCACTGGGCGAGACAGTCAGTGTACTGTGTAGATATCCTAGGAACACTGACACTGAGTAATTGCTAAACTAGAATAGATGAGAGAGCCGGGACTTTTGTTACTATATTCCCAAGGAAGAGCTGAAGACGAACAGGTAATGCAGCTAATGTCTAATCTCCAAAACCGTAAATTTATTTATTTTTATTTATTATCACACTGGCCGATTCCCACCAAGGCAGGGTGGCTCGAAAAAGAAAAACTTTCACCATCATTCACTCCATCACTGTCTTGCCAGAAGGGTGCTTTACACTACAGTTTTTAAACTGCAACATTAACACCCCTCCTTCAGAGTGCAGGCACTGTACTTCCCATCTCCAGGACTCAAGTCCGGCCTGCCGGTTTCCCTGAACCCCTTCATAAATGTTACTTTGCTTACACTCCAACAGCACGTCAAGTATTAAAAACCATTTGTCTCCATTCACTCCTATCAAACACGCTCACGCATGCCTGCTGGAAGTCCAAGCCCCTCGCACACAAAACCTCCTTTACCCCCTCCCTCCAACCTTTCCTAGGCCGACCCCTACCCCGCCTTCCTTCCACTACAGACTGATACACTCTTGAAGTCACTCTGTTTCGCTCCATTCTCTCTACATGTCCGAACCACCTCAACAACCCTTCCTCAGCCCTCTGGACAACAGTTT